CCAGGGCTGGGAGGAGGTATCTAAAAGTGCTATTTACACTGAGCTCCGGCTGTGTGTCCCCGGAGTGCCCCCTGCCAGGGATCCCCTCTCTGTCCCGCTGCCCCCGTCCCATTTAGTAAAAGCTCCTCGCAGCTCCCTGGGCCTGGCTCGTTCTCAGATCCTTCCCTGAGTGTCCCTGGCACTCCCTGGGGCCGTCAGGGCTGCTGTCAGCACCTCTCGGCACCGCTGTCGGCTGGGCGACCGTGCCCGCAGGGCAGCCCAGCGTGTCGTGGCAGGTGGTGCCAGGGTGCTGCCCGCGCTTGCCCATGGTGAGGATGCCCGCAGCGTGGTTGCCGGAGCCATGGAGCAGGCGGTACAGCCGGCTCTGGAAGGCCAGGGGGACGCTCTTCCTCTTGCCCAGTGTGAGGATGCCAGCGGCGTGGTTGCCCATGCCGTGCAGGAGGTCGTAGACACGGCAGGAGCAGGTCTTCTGCCGGCAGCAGTGGGGCAGGTTCTGCCGGGCAGCAGCCAGGGAGCAGAAGAGGAGCAGGAGCAGGAGGCAGGCAGCTCGCCGGGGCTGCCAGAGCAACGCGCAGCGTTAGAGCAGGGCAGGAACAGAGAGGGGGGAACTGCAGAGCCCCAGGACCCTTCCCCCTGCTGTGCTCACTGATGTTTCAACTCCTCCCTGCCCTGGTTGTTGCCACAGCGGCCCAGCCCCACACCCGAGGTGCACCTGGACTGTCGCCCTCCCCTGTGTTCCAGCCAGCAGCCAGATGTGGGTGTCCTCACCGCAGCCCTGCTCCGGCACCCAGCAGCTGTGGCAGACACCCCTCCTCTCTGCCCAGTGCCATGGCACAAGCAGTGAATGCTGCAGGCACTGCACGCCCAGCTCCCTCCCAAGCAGTTCCCTCATCAGCTGCTGGTACAGTCGGGGAGTCCCGGGGATTTGCTGCACACTCGGAGACTCCCAAGAAACCGGCCAGGCCCTCCCACACCCCCAGCCCTACACTCTGATCTCCCACCCATCGCTGTTCTCTTGTCCCCAGGGGCTGCAGTACCCCAGCCCCACCTTGGTGTTGGGCACGTCCATCCTTGCTGGGGTCTTCAGGTGGCCGAGCGGCTCTGGGGCATGTCCCATCGGGCAGCCGACAGCACGGCACCCTCACTGCCACTGCCACTTTATAGAGCCCGGCACAATAGTGCTGCCAAAAATACCGCTGGGCCAGCGGCAGCGACTGGTCTCTGGGAGACGTGGGAGCGCTGTGGCCGGTAGCCCGGAGACCGTCCAGGCCTTTCCCCTCATTTTTCCCCTCATTTGCACGTCCCCATTGTGAGGGTACTCACTGGACGGGATGCCTGGCACTAATGAGGCCGTAATTGCCCCCGGGCCGCGCTGCTGGGCTGGCACAAATGGGCTGAAGGTCAGCGCTGGCCGCTGCTCAGAGCCCCATTAGGCTAATTAAACCCCCGAACAAAGGGCTGCCAGCAGCTCTACTGCTCCCTGACTGACGTGGGGAGCCGTCACCCTGCGCTTGGCTGCTACCAGGGAGGGATGGTGCCACCAGGGTCCTGTACCTGCTGCCACCCTCCATCCCCTTTGGTGACACCATCCCATCCTGCTCCTGTGCCTGGAACAGAGGGAGCCACAGGGCACCAGGGACGGTCTTGCACTCTTTATAACACTGCACAGCCCCCGCCTGACCCCAGACCACCTCCAGCCTTTGCTTGTGCTCAAATCCCTTGCCCTGGGGGTTGAACCCAAACATTTCCCTGATGCCAGAAGCCACGGGGACACTCTGACCCCACATCTGCTGCACCAGAGAACCTCTCAGCTCCTCTGTATAGTGGGGACCCCAGGGATGCTATGGAGGTGACAGGACCAGTCAGGATCCTTCCAGCCCCAGCCAGGTTTTCCCCAGGGCTGGTGAAGGCCAAACCTGCATCCCTGGAGAGGGTGGGCAGAACTCCAGACCTGGGGCTGCTTTTCCACGTGGCATCTGGCACAGCAGGCTGGGTACATGCACATGGGAACTGGGGTACCAGCATCCCACTGGCCCCTCGGCAGAGTACTGGCTCCAGAAGCAGATGGAGGGGATGGATGAGTCCTCTGGGAGCTTGGTGGGGCAGAAGGGAGCAGGGACATCTCTCCCCAACCTCTACACTGAATTCTGGTGCAAGTCCCTCAACACGGCAGAGCACAGGCACCCAGCCTCACACACATTCCCCGGGCAGGCTGGGGCTCCCTGCTCCCGGCCCCTGCGGCCAGGGGTGCTCAGTCCGGGCCCCGAGCCCCAGACCGGGGTCAGCAGGACGCTGTGTCGCCACCTCCGTCTGTCTCAGGGATGGGCTCCAGCGGAGCTTGCAGCCGAGAGGGTTCCGGCGAGGCTGATCCGTTCCTGCCGATGCCGCAGGACTGCCCCGCGTTGTGGATCTGCCACAGGTTGTCCAGTGCCTCCGCCTTGGCATGCTTGAGGAGGTCAGCCTGGCCCTGCGGGGAGGAGACGGGGGTGTGTTAGGGTGCAGGCAGGAGGGTCAAGGGGCAGGGCAGAGGTATCCCTGCAGCCCTTGCCCCTCACCTTGAGGACGGTGATGTTCCAGGCGAAGCTCTCCAGCGCCTTCTGCAGCTTGTGCCCCCTCAGCCCTTCCTTGGCCTCGATGCGGTGCAGCTCCTTGTGGAAATCCATCCCTGCATTGGTGGGAGAGGTGCTCAGTGGGTGCAGGGACATCGGCACAGGGACAGCCACCACCCACGACCAACAAGGACCAAGCCAGAGGGATGCCCTTTGCCCACCATGGGGTTGCAGGCTGGGTGGGCTCCCCCCTGCCCAGGGAGCCTCAAGAATCCTCCATGGCCCAAATGATGGGCCAATGGAACCCCAAACATCCCAGCACCATGGCCAGCTGTGGCCTGTGGCCACTCTGGACCCCAGAGGTCTGGAAGGGCAGCGGAGACCCTGGGCAGAGGCACAACTCTTGAATTCCATGGCTCATCTGGGGGGGAATGGGAGCAGGGCCCCCAGACCCCCCCATCGGAGCGCAGACCCCGTCACTGTGCCCCACGTGACATCCCCTGAGTGGGTGCTATATTTACCCCTCCTGACGCAGCACCGGCTCTGGGCCCACGCGAGGGTTCCCACGCAGCTCGCTCGCCCTCGCGCTGCCAATCAGCGCTCCCACGGCCCCGCGCCCCCACCGCAGCTCCCCGGACCCCCAGCTCCTGCCAGCCGGGTTCCGGCTGTGCTGCCACCACAGGGGCTTGTCCACAGCATGGCCGGGGTGAGAGCAGGGACAGGCAGCACGAGAGCACGGGGGTGGGGGCTGCAGCCGCCAAATTGCTGCCTACCGGCACCCCTGGAACCCCTGAATCCCTCTGCACACCCCAGAATCGCTCTGCCCTGCAGCACCCCAGCGCAGCAGCCAGAGCAGCACAGAGGGCACAGCACCAATCTGTGCCCTGCAGCTTGTGCCCCACTGCTCCGCTCCCCCAGCGCTCGCAGCAGTGGCAGAGCTGAGCCAAGAGCTTGGGGAGATTTCCGTCTGCCGCGTAGGCAGGGAACAAACACGGCTGCTGGCAGCGAGGCTGGCATGGCGGGGACAGCAGAGCAGGGCCCCCTCCTTCTTCCCCAGCCCCTCCAGCTCCTGACACTCTCCCAGCCCCAAGGGGAGCCCACAGAAGCCTCTGGAGCTGGTGGGGCTATCCCTGTGGGTTCCCAGCCAACAGAGGGGCCACGCAGCCATCAGGGCCTGGAGTGGGGCCAGAGGTCCCAGGCCGCTGCCAGAGTGGGGGCACCTGTGGGGAGGACCAGGGCAGGCGGCAGCAGCACCTGCCTGTGTGGGTTCTGCCATGTGTTTGGGAAGTCTTAACACTCAGTTGCCATTTCTGCCGTCAGCCCTAGCCTGTTATTTCTGGCACTAATTATGTTCTGGTTTTTGACAGCTAATGACTCTTCCCCGCTTCCTCATCAGCCTCCCCCACTCTGCTTGCTCCCTACCACACAGCTCTGCAGCCCACCCACCCACACCCTGCCCCAGTGCAGGAAGCCCTCAGCCCCAGGACGTGCTTGGGTCCACAGCCAGAGCCAGAGCGGAGCTGGGGCTGCCCTGCAGGACCCACCTGCCTGCTGTGCCTGGATGAGCTTCCCGTACACGGCGTCGGCAGACTCGATCAGCGTCCGGCTAGTCTGGATCATCTAGGGAGAGGGGCAGCGTGAGGAGCTGGCCAGCCCTGGCCCTGTGCCCCCAGCCAAGTGGATGAGGTGATGGGGCTCATCAGGGGCTGTCCCCACACCAAGCCCAGGGCCTGGTCCTTCCCACCTCACCACACATGGCTGGGTATGGTGTGACCTGCACCTGGCCAACGGCCAGGTTCCCTTCAACACAAAAGAAGGAAGCAGCTCTGGCTGTGGCTATTAATGGGATTTCTCCCACCTGGTGGGACCAGGACGAGGGACAGGCAGTGCAGACATAGGGGAGGGGCTGCAGTGTCCAAGGGTCAGATGATCTGGGCAAGCCTGTGCCTTGGCAAGACTCCTTCCTGGGCAGCCCTGATGCAGCCCCCTGGCCACTCACCTTCCCCTGCCCCAGGATGGGGACAGTGAGCTCACGATTCCCCATCCTTGGACCTTCTGATCCATCCCACAAAACCTGCCTGGGTTCATCCCACAAACCTACTCAAGTTCATCCCATAAAAACTGCCTGGGTTCATCCCACAAAACCTGCACCACCACTGGCTGCTGGTCCCTCTGATCCCAGGGAGCCTCCCCAAGGAGCTGAGCCCAGCAGGACGGCACTTACCGTCTCGTAGGCAGTGAGGACCTTGCGCAGCAGGTCAGGGATGGGGCCCTGGGCCTCCATGGGGGGGTACTGCTCTGCCAGGTTGAGGGTGACACTGGGTGCGCTGTCACTGTGCAGCAGCCACGTGGACACCGTCAGGATGCACTGCTTCATATTAGCAGCGGGTGTCAGCCCACACAGCTCCTTGAAGGAGACCAACGCATTCTGCAGAGACCAGTGTCCAGCGTCAGTTCAGCTGGGCAGACCCCCAGGAGCACCCCCATTTCCCACAGCTCTCTGCTTCTCGCTCACATCCCCTGGGAAAGGGGGGACAGCCTGGCTTCCCACCACTCTCAGTCCAGCCCCATCCTCCCCTGCACAAACCAGGTCCCCGGGTGCCTCTGCGGGGTCCATACCTGTACATTCTCCCGCAGGTCAGTGGCCTCCCGCAGCGGCTGGGTGGCCGTCCGGAAGACTTCATCGATGGCTTTGATGCCAGTGGCCTTGGTGGAAGTGTACTCCCGCACTCGGCGGCCCCGGCGCCCCGCCAGCCCCCGGCGGTGCCCCTTGCCCCCACCACGGCGGTCAGTGATGGCCACATGCACAAAGAGGGTGGCGTGGGGCAGGGGCTCCCCGGCCAGCGACTGGAGGGGGACATGGCGGTAGCCAGGCTGCAGGCACTCGAAGGGGATGGTGTACTGGGCAATGAACTCATCCCCAATGTAGTCATCGTCCAGCACAACGAAGCGCAGGACGGCCAGCTCCGGCAGGTTGATCTGGAACTCCAGGCTCTCGTCGAAGATGGGGTTGTCCCCGCTCTGCAGGGCTGTCTTGGTGCGGTGCTCAGCACAGTCGGCCGGGATGCCATGGATTTCAGCACAGACATAGGGCTCCACAACCTCCCCCTTGGCCCCCGAGCCCTTGGGCTTGGGCAGGTTCTGCCCACTGATGACCTTGAGGTGCAGGAGCTGGGCAGGCACCCCAGGCAGGGAGTCCTTGGCGTTGGCACTGAAGTAGGAGACCTCCTCCCGCATGATGGCCGGGCGGAGGACGTAGCCACAGGCCCCGTTCTGCCGGAACCAGCCCGCATTCAGGTCCATCATGAGCCCTGGTGTCTGGTAGTTCATAGCCACCATCTGGCAGCCGCACTTCCAGAAATCCTGGGGGTTCATGTTGCTGGCATCGATGCGCATGGGGCTGGGGTAGATGCGGGAGAGGAACCGCTTGTTGTAGCTGACCAGCTCAGCCGGGCACTCGTTGGCGAAGCGTCCCGCCTCCACCTCGCTGAAGGAGCACATCTCCCAGTAGCGTTGCCCACGTCTCGAGCTCTCAAAGTCCTGGAAGGGGACAGCCTGGCAGAGGCTCACCAGCTCCGAGAGCTCACGGCTGAGGCGCACCCGCCGCAGGCCACCTCCCTCCGGTGCCTCCCGGTCCTCCTGGCCCAGTCGCCGCGCCAGCTCCCAGCCTTCCTCCTCGTCCGACACCTCCCCCTCGCTGTCCTCGCAGGTGGGCGGCAGCTTCTTGCCCTTGATGAGGATGCGGCCCTTGAGCTCCTCCGGGGACGGCAGGTAGGACGCCACGGGGTTGGGGGGCTCCAGGTACAGCTTCTCCCCCAGCGTCTTGCGCAGGCACTGAGCAGCGAGTCGCTGCTGGGGGGCCGAGCAGCGCACCACCAGGCAGAGGATCAGGGGGTAGGCGGAGGCAGTGAAGGCGTGCTGGTCAATCAGCCCCACCACGGCACGGAAGGGCACACAGGAGGCAGCTGAGGGGCTGGTGTACACCACGGGCTCACCCTCGGGGCCGTCCCACAGCACCAGCTCGATGCTGCGGCAGCCCAGGCCCAGGGCACTGATGTAGCCACTGATGTCTGAGCGGCCCCAGAAGTTGTCCTCCAGCAGGCAGGCGCTGTGGGCAGAGCTGATGTAGTAGTGGGAGAGGGGCTGCGCCATGTCCTGGCAGACCTTGCGGTGCTGCGGGTCAAAGATGGAGCAGTCAGCAGAGAGCAGGTAACGTGTGAAGCCGTCGATGGCCAGGTAGCCCTTCTCCCGGCCCTCCTTGGAGGGTTCATACTTGCTGACGATCTCCAAGCACTTCTCCTCTGTCACCCCCTCCATGCCCTGCTCCACCTCCAGGAACATCAGCAGGTCCTTCACACCCAGGTATTCCTTGTTGCTGGAGAACTGGACCAGCAGGAAGAAGATCTCAGGGCGGGTGCAGAGCTCACAGTATGCCTCCACGAAGAGGTCACAGGCCACCTCCGTTCCAGGACGCTCGCTGGCCTTCTGCAGTTCCTTGAACTTCAGCTCAATGGTGGAGGTCTTCATGCCAGGGTTGAGTGCTTTGATCAGCTGCACAGCCCGGGACACAGGGATGCGGCCAGACTTCTCCAGGTCAGCAAGGTCAAAGACAGAGGAGATCCAGGATGTCCGGAGGCTGGGGTGGCCAGTCCCAGGTGCCTCAGGGCTGTGCTTTCCATAGGACACCAGATAGCGCAGCCCCATCACCCAGGCACTCACCACATCTGCTGAGCTGGCCACCAGGTCCAGGGACTCGTAGTTGTCTCCATAGATGATGGAGAAGGCGCACTCGTCTGGGAACTGGTCGGAGAGGCCATTGCTGCGCAGGACAGGTGTCTTCTTGCCCACACGCACCTCTTTGACCGATTTGATCTCGATCTTGGCCTTCTCTGAGTCCTTCTTGGAGGGCTCCCAGCGCACGGAGCGCATGTCGGCGTCCAGCACGAAGAAGCGGCTGTACATGCGGGAGTTGGAGCGCACCTTCTTCAGCTCACAGCCCTCCAGCATGAGGGAGATGCAGGCAGCTGTGCTGTTGATCTTGCGGTCATTGGGCATGGAGCTGAAGGACACTGTCTTCTTCTTCTGTGCTGGCCGCTGCCGAGAGCCATCCTGCCAGGGTGGGAAAGGGGCAGAGCCATCAGGGACAGCCAGGCAGCACAGGCCTCACCAGTTCCTGGCATCCTCCTTCCCCATGGTCCCCCCACCCCACCCCAGCCCAAAGTAGTGCTTAGCACTGCCCCAGGGTGCCCCAGCATCACTCTAAGCCCAGTCCACACCAGTCCACCCCTCTCCTGGGGGCTGGGAGCCAGCTCCAGCCCTGGCTTTCCTCACAGCTCACTGCCTGGCTTATTTTAACTCTGCTTTCCTTCCTTCCTTCCTGCTCCTGGCCCTGAGCTGGATCCTTCCCCACTGCTCGCTCACCCTCACAGGCACAGCCATGCGCCAGCAGCCCAGCACACCCCTGGCTGCTTGGCCTGGGGACACCAGAGGAAAACAGACACCCAGCATGTGATGCATGAGCAGAGCTGCTCCTGGGCAGCCCAAGGCAGACCCCTGCTCTCCTGCGAGGAGCGGGGCAGGACAGTCCCTGCCAGTGCCACATGCTGGGGACCACCATGGCCACGGCTCTGTCCCACAGAGCGCAGGGTCACGAGGGCACGGGCTGTTTGCTGCCAGCACCTCATACCCACACTCTGTCCTGCCTCACTACGGGGAGGGGGACCCAGCTGCCACGGAGCTGGCAGGGGATAAGGGGGAACAGCAGGGCCAGGAGTGTATTATGGGATGGATTTCATTAAGCAGCACAGTAGGAGGAGATTTAATCCACTTCTTCAAGATTATGGTGAGTCACCTCTAATCTGGTGGTGTCTCTGTCAGGGGCAGGTCCTGCTCAGCTGCCCAGGTTGGACGTGAGGGATTGCTCCCCTTCAGTGTCCCGACAGCTTCCACAGCTCCTGCATGGGGCTGCACCTGGGCAAGCGCATCCCGTGCCTGATCCTGGGTTGGGATCTGCCCCACGGGGTCAGGCAGCCACAGCCAAGGACATCCGGGATAGGTCACTCAAATAGATGTGTGGCTTCCCCAGGGAATGGGGAATCCTCCAGGGATGCCCAGGGAAGGAGGAACCAGCACCAGCCCTGAGCCCCCTGTTAGTGCCAGGCATATCCTACTACTCCGGAGCTCGGATGTGGTGGCTGTTTGCATCCTCTCGCTGCCAGATTGCTCCAGGGAGCTGGCCGAGCTCCAAGACCCTGCCTCGGTGCCAGCCATCCCGGGTCGGCAGGCGCTCAGCGGCAGGTCACGCCATCGGCCAGCCCTGCGGGGAACGACTCGACGCCGGATGCTTCCTGCGTGCTGCAATCTGAGCGCCCCACTGACAGGCAGCCGCAGCCCCCAGCTGGCCGAGGGGCGATGGGCACCGAGGGCCGCACCTCCTGCCCCCCGGCAGGACCCCCGCCTCTCTGCGGACCCGCTCCCCGCCCGGCGCACCCACCCCGAGCGGCTCCGCACCGGGCCCCACAGCTGAAAACAGGAAATCCATCCGGAAAGGAAACACGGGCGGGGGGCCTGCGTGCACCCAGAGCCAGGGACCTGCTTCCAGCTGTGCCCGCTGCAGGCAGCCACACACACCCCACCGGCACCGGCACCAGCCCCGCCGGTTCCCCCGCACCCCGGCTCAGGGCAAAGCCCGAACGCCCTCCCTGCAGACCCCCACCCTCTCAGGGGTAGATAGGGGAGGGGGTGCCCGCTGCAGCACTTTGGGGTGCAGATGGGTGGCACAGAGCCAAGAGCGCACACAGACCCCGCTTCTCCCTCTGAACGGGCAAACAGCGAACAGGGGATGCGAGGAGCCTCCCGTCTGCAGCCGCCCTGCGCTCCTCGGTGCGGCCTGGGGACCAGCAGGGAAGAGTCTCCGCTCCCTGGCAGCCTTTCCCAGGCTGTTCCCGGTGGTCTTCAACCCGGGGGACAGCCCACGGAGTGCTGGGCGAGGCGCGGCAGGAGCAGCGCAGGCAGGTGACGAGTAAGGCAGCAGTGGAGCCGGGAGGACACGGTGCCCATGGCCGTGACAGCATGGAACACCCCCAGACAGAGGGCAGAGCTCCGGCCGGAGCAGGGATGCTGCTCGCTGTGCCACCGAGCTGGCAGGGAGCAGGCAGGGCTCCACAGAGCGAAGCACAGACCGCGATGCCGACCGCGGTGCCAGTGGTGAGCGTGGGCTCACAAGGAGGGCACGTTCCAGCCCAGCTGCCTGCCCTGCTCAGCCCTGCAGCATGTGTTAAGCACCTCTTCAGCCAATTATCTCCTTCATTAGTGCCCTGGTGAGTGCTGATGCCCTAATCTCAGCCTCCACGTGACGGCCACCGTTACCGACCACATAACCCACTCTCAAAGCAGGGGATGGAGAAGAGTCCGTCAGTTGTCCCTCCTTTCCCTTTATCCCGCAGCCTGGCCGTGACGTGACTCATCTGCAGCTGAATTCCCCAGGTCCCGGGTCTCCCCGCTACCCCTCATCCAGCGTGGGCAGGGGTGCGGGCAGGCAGCAGCCCCAGAGCTGAGGCAGTGGGAGGCCAGGCACAGTCAGGGCTTTTCTACCGTCGCTTGTTCCCTGCCAAGAAGAGAGCGACTGACACATCCACTCCCCGCGGCACCAGCTGCCACTCCCCGGCGAGGGGCCGTGGAGTCAGATCCCAGCAGAGGCACCACACAGCTCCTGGGACTGGCGTGCGATGGGAAGGGGGCTCGGGGGGCAGAGCAGCAAAATGCTATGGAAGCGAAACCTCCTGCAGAATATCCAATACCCCCAAGTCCCTCTCAGCCCACGGGACCATCAGCCCGCTCCGCTTTCAGCCTGGGAAGAAAGAAGGGAGCAGGTCCTCTAGCCAGGGCGCAGGGACACTGCAGGGGACAGCTCTGAACCCCGGTGCCCCAGGCCCCCCTGTCTCCACACAGCCAGTGAGTCGCACTTTCAGATTCACTCCTCCAGCCTTTTCTGGAAATCCCAAAAAATAACAGAGCTGGCAGCTCTTTCCACATGTGCCTCCGCTGCCGCCCAGGCCCCGGATGGACTCGGAGATGCACAACGGATCGGCACAAGCTGGGGACACTGTCCGGGTCTGACCTCCCCCGGGCCAGCGCCCTCCCTCTCCAGTGCTGGCCCTGGGCCACCCGACCTTCACGTGAGGCCAAATCCCGCGGTGACGCAGGTGGTGACAGGGATGTGCCCGGCCCGGTGCAAGCGAGATGTTCACCACCCCCAGCCAGCCATGCCCACGGATGGTCCCTGGGCAAGGAATGATGCTGGTCCGTCCCGGGAGGAGACCTCGGCAAGGTCCCCAAGGAAAGCGGGCACAGACGGTGCAGTGGCAGCAGCCTCTGGTAGCACGGGAGCACTCGCAGGTCTCGGTGCCGTCACCGCGTGGGCACAGCCCGGCCGCCCCCGCAACAGTTTGCAGCGAGAGCCCAGGCGGGCGCGGGCAGGGACTCAAGGTCCTGACTCCGCTGTCCAGAAAACTGGGCTGGGGCACCACGGAAACAGCCCCCTCACCGGGTATTAATAGCACCGGAGCAATCCCAGCTTAAAATAGGCTGCCGGGAGCGGGGAGGCAAGTCCCGGGCGGACGTGACCTATTGTGTCAGCGAGTACCGCTGGCATCAGCACAATCAAGGGGGTGCATTTAGGAAAGCACACGTGGGATCCGCTGCCCACCCAGCTGGGAGACCCCCCTAGACCCCGGCCCCACCACGGCCCGGCGATACCAACATCAGGTGCTGGGAGCAGACTGCGAGCTGCTCAGGCCAGGCCCGAGGCTCGGCGCTTGTCAGGAGAGAGCACGGGAGAGCAGAGGCTGCTCCAGGGGCAGGAGCGGGCATCTTCTCACGGGAACCCAGGGGTGTCCTGAGCAGGACCGGGTGATGCTGCAGCGCGGCCACGGCACTTGACAGGGCGATCCATGGACACTCCACAGAGCCGGGCCGGGCCAGATTGTGCCCTTGGGGACCCTGGGTCCGGGCAGGGCGCGGGGACGCCGTGTCAGTCC